TCAAAAAGCACAACAACCTAAGGTATGAACCATCCAGTGCTCTGGTTCCAAATGTCACAGTGGCTACATCCACGACCTATATATCAATTGTACTTTTCACTAGTTAAGTAATAACCTAACCATACTCTTTCTGTGTCCAAATGTTAGCTGGGTTCAGTTTTAACAAAGATATTGTTGAATGATAACTATACTGTTAACCAAACTTTCAGGTTAAGGTAAGCAAGGTAAGCATTACAAAACAAACAAACAATCAAACTATAAATAAATAAAGAAATGACAAAAACCCCAAAAGAAAATCTCAAAACGTTTTATTATAGTCAATTTAACATATTGTTTTGACCCTAGTGGATTTCTAGTCCTTAAGAATGTAGATTTAGCAATGAAGCAGTCAATTTACCAGTTCAGCAGTCAATGTTACACCTTATTTAGAAGCAAAAATTTTATGAAAATTTTGGTAGTGGCAATAATATAAATTCTGCACTATAAACCCAAAAGCTCAAAGTGAGTAAATAAATTAAGTAATGCAAATGTAATTTTTGAAAACAGTCAAACTTATTATTTTGATCAACTTAAGCTATTTTGCATATTAAGTACCTGCTACTTGAAAAACAATTTTATTTATTTTATTTATTTATTTAAATTATACAGCATCAATAAATAATCTTTGGAAGGTTTGGATTCCCAAACACAAAAGGTGTTAGTTTTTAGTCTGATATGACAACTGGACTGATTTAAATTCTGAGATAAGACAATTCTTTTTTGTGTGTTGTTTTTTTGGTGGCTTTTATTTCTTTTTGAAACATTTTGTGACATAAAAAAAACAATTCATAACTTAAATTCATTGCAGTAAATTATTTTTTATTTCAGAATTTAAAAAATCAGCCCCAACTGAATTATTTAAAAACAGTCAACTTACCTTTTTTATTTAATTTCCTTTTTTTTTTAAATAAATAAAATAAAATTGTATTTTCTTTAAATAAAGACTCCACTAGTGAGGTCAAATACGGAGGTTTGCCCACTTGTCAGTCAGCAGTTGTTTGATTATGAAATTTGAGCGGGCATGATTGAACACTCATTGAAAGGCAGAACCATCAGCTGTAAAGTCCCTCTGCATTCATCACTGTTGACCGTTGCCAGCATTGTTTGCATCACACAAATTTTTCTAATATTCTTTAGATTTTAAGCCATTTTAGTGAAATCTCAGCAAAGCAATTCTCATTCGGTTGCACTGTTATATAACAATTAATAGACTAGCAGCTAATAACTTATTGAAGCCACTGCAGAGACAGACTAAGTTTTTAAACTGTAGACAGTGTGTTATAATCAGGGGTGCACGTAAGTGGTTCGCAGGTGCGCATGCGCTTTCAAAATAAAAGAGGCGCACCAGATAAGAGGTTGCAACGTGCGTTTGCATACATAAGATTTTCTGGAGGAGGACAGACATTTGTTTATAACTCTTAAATCCCACTCTAGTGGACAAAAACAGTGCCTTTTAAGGTTTCCCAAGAATACGCGCTTCTTTTGCAGTTCGGACTCCTGACATTTCTTTGGAGGTGGAGGAACACCAAAGTAATTGCTTAAAGGAGCTTCTTCAACATCTTTAAGAGATCTAAACAAATGTCTGTCTTCCTCCAGAAAATCTTATGTACGCAAACTTCTAATATGGTGCACGTCTTTTATTTTGAAAGCGCATGCGCACCTGCGGACCACTTATGTGCACCCCTGGTTATAATGTAGTATTTTATTATATTTTATTTTATTTTTTGATTCAGCTATTATGATGAAGTGCAATGTTTCAAATTTAAGGAGATGGAATTAATGAAGAATTCAGAATTAATAAAAAGAAAAGGCCAGGAATAATTGTTAGGTAATTGGCATGAACTGGTAAAAGCGCAGAGAAAACTTAATCTTTAGTGATTTGACCACGTAGAGAAATGGCTGAACTTTTTGGGGAGAAACATGTTGCTGCAGGTCAGCCTTTCGAAAGTCAGAATTGTTATTTGAGTCTCTCGAACACCTTTTCTGTTCATCTGGACGTAGCATTTTCATTGGGAGAAACATTTCGTCCAAGTCACTGAATTTTTTGGAGTTCTGCTAACTTCTTTTAAATTTACAGTGCAAGATTACACCTGAGAAAATAGAAACTCTGGTTTTCAAAATCCTTAAGCAACCTCTTGAAATCTGACTAATGGCCCACTCGTGGATGTGTCCGTCCACATCCATTAGTGACTGAATATATACTTTTGCAGATGTCCAAAATAGTCCAACAAAAGTAAAAATCAAAACATTGCAAGCCTGAGTATAAGTCCAAGACACCAAATATTTGAACACTTCAGAAAAGAATCACTCAACAAGAATTCAGTGAGGACATAACGCTTAGAGATCAGGACTTTTTTCTAGTGAGTGAACCAAATTAGAAGGTAACACCTTAATAATTAACCTGCTGTTGTGTATGGATCGTCTCACATGTTTTCTTGGTAGCTCATTTTTGGCATTTCTTCCTGCCATCAGATTGCATTTGTCTCTGCACATAAAAGAGTCTCAACTTTGACTGAGAACAATTTGACCCTCATACAGAGTTTTCCCTGTGCTGATTTGTTTAGATCGGCCCTAGCTCTGTAGCCTGCCACAAGAAAGCACATCTTTATCTATCAACTAACCCAACTCCATTCACCCTCTAAATGGGGTTGGCATTTAGTGCTCCATATTTAGTTTTCAGAGATATTTCAGTCAGCCATTTATTATCTTTAGATAGAAAGTGAAATGGAATCTTGGTAACCCTTGGGAGAACAGCCACACTATTCATATTCTTGGCACTGAAAGAGTTGGGAGTATTTTTAACTCTCAGTGGAGCCTCAGTGTTTGCTTTTGGGGCCTGAAGGGATATTTGGATCAGGAAATGAAAAATAATGTCAGGTTTAACAAACAGATTGCAGTTTTATAACCAGTGATCCAACCAACCAACTTAAACCAAACAAACGGGATGAACTTTCACTTGTTTTTGTCCCTGACTGTGATGATTATAATGCAGGAGGCAGGTAGATCGCATAGTTTGTGGTGAATTGTGTTTTGAATGTTCAATAGAAAGCTCCAATAAAAATACCCCTTCTTTTATCATTTTGCTCTCAAACTGGATTCAGAAATTTATCTAATAAATTTTATATTTTCGTTAGAAAATGTATTAAAATATTACTCCAACACATTGTCTCTGTTTATATCAGTCTCTCTCTCGCTATACACTAAAGCTTGGACACACCTTCTCATGTATTGGTTTTTCTTTATTTTCATGACATTATAGATTCTCACAGAATGCACCAAAACTATGAATAAACACATACAGAATTATGTAGTAAACAAAAAATGTGTGAAATAACTCATAAAAACACATTTTTGATTCTTCAAAATAACCACCCTTTGCTTTGTTTACTTCTTGACCTGTAGAAAGTAGTGAAATAGTAAAAATAAAGAAAAAACATTAAATGAGAAGGTTCAGACTTTCGACTGGTAGTGTATACTGAGGTTTCAGACTCTTTCGAAGATATTTGAGGGTGCATGCCTGACTGGGTAAACTCCAATGTGTTTTTTATACTTGTAGAAGGCATTCGACTGTGTCCCTCTGAGTACTCTGCGGGAGGTGCTTCGGGAGTATGGGGTGTCTGGCCCATTGCTATGAGCCATTCAGTCCTTATAGAACCGTTGCAAGAGTTTGGTCTGCATATCCAGTAATAAGTTGGACTCATTCCTGGTGGGTGTTGGACTCTGCCAGGGCTGCCCTTTGTTGCCGATTCTGTTTATGACATTTATGTACAGAATTTTGCTTCATCAGGTGACGGCCTCCGGCTCACACTGGAGCTGTTCACAGCTGAGTGTGAAGCTGAGTGAATGAGAATCAGCATCTCCAAATCTGAGGTCATGGTTTTCAGCCAGAAAAGGGCGCCCACTTTAGATCAAGGATGAGTTCCTGCCTCAAGTGAAGTTTAAGAATCTTGTGGTCTTGTTCATGAGTGAGGAGAATGGGAGAGCGATAGATGGATTATTGCTGCACTGGTCTGTCGTGGTGAAGAGAGAACCTTAGTGTAAAAGCAAATATTTCAATTTACCGGTCGATCTACGTCCCAACCCTCACCTTTGGTCACGAGCTGTGGGTAGTTACTGAAAGAACAAGATCGCAAATAGGCAACAAAAATGAGCTTGACTGGCTGGCCCTTAGAGATAGGGTGAGGAGTTCAGCCATGCAGGAGAGGCTCAGAGTAGAGCAGCTGCTCCTCCACATCGAAAGGAGTCAGTTGAGGTGGTTCGTGCATTTGACAAGGATGCCTCCTGGTTGTCTTTTTAATGAGGCGTCCCAAATATGTCCCACTAGGAGGATGCCCCAGGAAAGAGCAACGACACAAATTATATCGCTCAGTTGGCCTTTAGACGCCTTGGTGTTCCCCTGGACAAGCTGGAGGACATGAGCTGCTGCCCCCACAACCCCCTGCCCTCGATAAGCAGAAAAAAAAAATGTATGGCAGGATGAATTGATGAATGTCATGCTTGATTCATTTCTGACTTCTCAGACAACTCCAGTGTGCAATGTTAAATTTGGATATAAAACCAAGAATTCAGTTTCTTATCTGCCTGATTAAAATGATGTAAAATTATAATTATCCATTTTAAATTTGTACTCAGGCTACAATCATAAATAAGCCAACAATGCATGCTGATGTATGAATTTTGTTATGTACTGAATTAAAAAAAAAAACAATCTAGTAATTAAACAGCTACCAGTATTTTAATGGCATATTTGTTTGTCTGCAATAACAGGATGCAGATTAGAAGCAATCCCCTTCAAAGGAGAGTAACAATAAAAGAATTAACAAGGGGTTTATGTAAAAATATGACAGGCTGGATGTGAGATATTTTTCCCCTGCTTATCTTTGTTTAGTTCTCTCTGATCTTTCCCCATGAATAAAACACACCAGTTTGAATTTTCAAAAGTTTATTAGTCAAAGGCACAATTTTCATTAATGTTCCAATTAATTTAATAAACAAAAGCAAAACAAAAAATGACACATCAGCTCTATCACAATTCAGAAATAAAGTTAGTTTTTTGGGTTTTTTGGCCAGTGATTGGCTGTACCGCACAAACTTATAAGACATTAAATATATACCCTAGGAGAAGTAGTAATTATTGGGGACTGCGGAAGGACAAATCTCATCCATCAGTGACTGAAGTGACGGTTTTGAAGATTCCACTTGCTTTTGCCGTCAGTGTTTTGAAACCAGACACGACAGCCATGGTGAGCCTGACAGAAAAACCATTTGTTAATTAACCATAAACTGGATAATCCAGCTTTCTAACATTTGATCAACATTTTGAACAAGATACAAGTTAAAATAACCATCTATTTAGGTGAGTGATGGCTTGGGCATGCTCTTTGTGTGTTTCATAAACATTCTGGGTTTGTTCAGCCTTGTTCAGTCAGACCATAAAGCACAGATCAGCCGTCTGTGCCACCCCACATAATTTGAGTTTGCTCCATTTAATCCTGTGAAGTCTAGGTCTTTATGACCTTCATATCGCCATGTGTGTCACACAGAAGTACACCTCTGGTTTCTAATGATTCTAGTATAAGTATTCAGACCACTTGAGAGCATCTGTCATATTAACAGCATTACTTTTTTGCCTGCTGGGAATAACTATGAAGAACCCATGTGAACTGTTCAAAGTAGCTCTCACTTGGTTCAAATGACTTGTCAGATATCCCTTTTCTGTGAGAACACTCAAAACCAGAAGCCAAAGGCACTGTTTAACAGATAAAGCTGAATACCATTGTGATACATGTTATCTGTGATTGGAATTCAAGGTTTTGTCACCGGTTTCACGGTATACCCCTCAGGTGACATCATAATTGTTGTTGTCCCTGTCAGTCCTTAAGACAGTTACTCTAGTGACCAAGGAAATGAATAAAATGTGAAGAAATTTTGCCATCAAGACATTTTAATGATGTACTAATTTATACTAATTTATAATTACAATGCAGAGTTTATTTTATTCTAATCTAGAATCATTTCCTAACCTTTAATACCCTTAGCCTCTAAATCTAACAGTGAGTGAAGGAAAGAAAAAAAAAAAAAGTATTATCTAAAAAGTAAATCAACACAATCATGAGACAATGGTCTGACACAGGACTGTATGCAGACATACTTTGAGATTTTTCAATGACTGTGGTCATCTTAAAAAAAAAATACTAACTTGGAGAAGAAATACAGAAGTAAGCAGCAGGCATTTTTTTGAAGTCCAAGAACATTATCTTGAGCCATCCACCCCATCATCCTCCCTTTGGAGGATCTTAAGACCTGTTGATGTGTCATAATTTTCTGCTATAATCATGTAAAACTTTCTCAGAGTTCAGAAATATAAATATGGCACTGAAAATGTACAGAAATGTTTTGGAACAACCGATTCTCCTTGAGAGGACAGGCTCAGGAAATCAAACGCATTTATTGAGGCACTGAATTTCTTATTCTTTACTCTGTGAATGCAGCTTGTTAAAAATCCTTGCACTTAAATGCTGACCTCAGCTACAGAACAATTGACATGGAAATACATTATTTAAGGACACTTAAACCCTTACCCTGATTATAAAGACTGAATATTTTCATTTTCCTCAAGTCAGATAAAAAAAAAAAAAAAAATGTTCCAACGGCTTTGCAAAGATAATTAACTGCGAACATTTCCAGCAAATTTCACTCATCGCTAGCATCAACGAGGCCTCTTTGACAGATCACCTTCAGTGTCTCTGTGTGCAGCTGCCACTCATCAACTCAAGTTTGTCTTTCAGCAAGAAAGAAAATACAGTCTGCCAAAAAAGCAATGTGTTGGCCCATCTGTAATTACAGTGATGGGATCTGGAATCATGCCTGCTGCCACTGATACACATACTCGTGCCAAATTTGTGAAAAATGTGTGTTTCTGCAGTTAGAAAGTGATAAAAATGCTAAATTGCAATAACAGTTTGCAGCAAGAACTAAATTGCTCAAATTTCCCAAAATGCCACAATTTCTGAAGGAAATGTTTTACTTTTCACAGTTGAAAACTACTGCCTTAACATATCATACTTTCCCCCACTTATTAAAAAATGGTTTAATATCCCAAAATGCTGAGAATTCATCAAAGACACTTTTCACAAATGCCCACTCTTACCAAGCTGTCAGGATCTGGAGGTTTGACTGGAAAGTTCCATCAGGCACCTGAGTTCCTTGGTCTCCACCCCTGGGCTTCCTTCCTTCCTTGGTCTCCACCCCTGGGCGGAGCCATCATCCCTCCTGCAGTCCTGCACACCTGAGGCTGACTCTGGGTAATCAGGTTGAAGATTTAAGCTCCACTGAGACTCTCCTTCACCACTAGGTTGTCAATGACCACACATTGGTATTGGCTCTAAGGGGCTTCCTTCCTTCCTTCCTTCCTTCCTTCCTTCCTTCCTTCGCTATAGTTTTCCAGGACCTTCTTTGCCACTGCATTCAACCTCAGCTCTCCTCAGATTATCCTCACATTCTGGAGCAATACAAAGGACCTCACCTACCTGCCCTCCAGCCACCACTCACCACCTCCAACACAGCAGAACTCAGGTCAGCCACCATTTGCTACTACTCACCTGGATCCTCACCGCCTCTCCCTCAAAGCCAAGTTCACCCTGACTATCCATGCATCCATGCTACCTGCCAATTCCCCGTTCACCCCACTGACCCACGGCCACACCATTAGCAACACTTTGCCACGAATTCACCTGTTGACCTAATAAACAAACACTCTAAAACGTACGAGCCGTCTCTGTTTTGGTTATCTGCGTTTGAGTCCAGTTTAGCTATCGGCCTGTGGCCATTGTGACACAAGCTGCTTTACTTTGCCCAAATTGTGTTAATTTTCCAATGCCCTAGCTTTACAGAAATATTAGGAAATGTTCTTTCTTTCTTCAATTTATACATCTGTCCTTAGTTTACCATTGTCCATATGTTTGTTCTTGAAGCTGTAATTTATCCATAATGTTCCCCTTTTTCATAATGTCCATGAGTAACTTTCCAAATGATTTTAACCCTGTAAGACCCAACCCATCAATTAATAGCCAAAGATTTCAGATGTTTTTGGGGAGCTGAGATGCTTATTAACCGTAAAACAAAATTCACAACTTTTTGAGATATATCATGTTGTATATGATATAGTTGATATATTGCGTGTTTTGAGCCATTTTTGTTAAAGTTCATTTTAGACCAAAAAAAGAGTTTTGTCCATAACATTTTGAAATTATGGCAAGTATTGATGTTGATGAGATTGAGGTCTCAGAAACTCATGTATCAAATATGATACAAAGGGCATCATAGGGTTAACTTTCCACATTTTCCCTTTTTTCTTTTAAATTGCCAAACGTCTACCCAAAATGTCAAAATTTTACAACTAAAGTTTTCATTTTTCTATAATATGATTCTTCCCAAATCTGTTTTTTCTAAAGATGTCTAATTTTTGTCCAACTCAAAAAATCACAATATTCCTTACAGAGATAGAGGAATACACATAAAACCCCAAATAATTGGTCTCACTTTGGCTGAACAGTTTGCATGACTGAACGATGACACTGTTAGCTGAGCGCAAACAGAGAAACGACATCTGTTGGCTGACTGACACATCGGCGAGTACAAACGCAGAGGGAGTAAAGTAAACAGAAAGAGTGGCAACAAAACAGCTGGAGACACTAAAATCAATAAGACAATGAATGGAAATAAGGGGGTGAAGCTCATTCCCTGTGAATGATACACCTGGTTAAGATGCTCAGCTTGCTGCCATTGCAAACAGAAAACATGTCACTGCGTCTGTTTATCTGCTCGCCTCAGCTCACCCAGTGGGACGTCTGATTGCTGATGCAATCTTTGCATCTCTTCTCTCAGTGGGAAACCTCTAATTACTCTGTTAAACTGTGAGGAAAGCCTCTCCTCACTGGTTGAGTCTTGCACTTACTGTAACGTGTGCATTTTTTTAAAATTGTGTTGAACATTGTAAGATCGTAGTTGTGACATTTAAATTTGAATGGAAAGCCACTCTGTTTATTGATTGCTGTAAAACATGTTAACAGCTATAACAGCTCCAGCTCTTCTGGGAAGGCTTTCCATAAGGTTTAGGAGTGTCTTTATGGGAATTTTTGACCATTTTTCCAGAAGGTATTTGTGAGCTTGGACTGGACGAGAAGGACTGGCTTGCAGTCTACGCTCTACTTCATCCCAAAAGTGGTCTATCTGGCTGAGGTCAGAACTCTGTGCAGCATTATTCATTCCTTCAGAGAACATATCTCTGCTGCTCTAGGGACACCACTGCATTCAAGACTTTAAATTGCACTGATAGGCCATGGGAACCCATTCCACTAAGCTCTCTGCACACTGTTCTAGGGCTCATCTGAAGGCCACATGAAGTTTCAAGATCTGTAGCTATTTACTCTGCAGAAAGCTGCTGATCTCTACCTACCATGGGCATGTGTTTTTAACAAATTTTGCATCAATTTGTTAATATCAGGGTTATTACTTAAAATGTTGTGGACAAAATGAAGGTTAATGACACTAAAAAACAGCTGTGCTTAAATAATTAATGTCACCTATTCTTATAGATCACATACGTCCATTATGCTGAAATGCCTCTCTGACTGGAAATATTTCAAAATTAAAGCCTGGATTGTGTTTATAGATTACAAATTTGAGAAGTGAACATTTACTGAATACATGTTAATTTCTACTGACATCTCCATTGCAATCTCTTTTTTTAAAATTAATTTTATGAATGCAGTGTACCTCATTAGGACAGAAACTTGACTCATAATGTCACTACTTATATTTCATGTGTAAATAAGGATCATTTTGCTAACAAGCTTCCATGTGACTAAGTATTCATAGCTTGTTTCTACAAAAGAAAAACAAGCATTTTCTGTTTGGAGCCTTTAGTAGTCCTCTGTTGACTCCCTCTGCTGGAATGAGTTATAAATACGCATAATTCATACTGGCTAAAGAGAAATTGACTTCTGTTAATGACACATCAACATGTAGATCAGCTTTTCGCTGCTCCTGACTTTTAGCTGTCCTTCCACCATGGCACAGATTCAGTAGAAATCCACAATAACCTGTCCCCTACAGCATTTCAGGACTTTGCATTATTTTTGCCATCAGCTGTCATCTGTCTGTTTCCTGCTATCCATCAGCACACTGGAACACGTGACGCTTGTCTCCCACGGCTACACACGCATCGATTCTGCTGCAGACAAATGTGTGATTTTTGCGCTCTGACCTTCACATCTCTGCAGCCTCATTTCACTTGCACCATAATGACCATGGAAAAAATATCACACCCAAAGACACATTTGACAAAGTACTACTAAAATGTTATGTCCTAAGATCTTGCTATATGAAAAGCCCAAAGTGATTAGACTCTGTTTGCTCTGTTGGGTGGGGGGTGTTTGTTTTATATTTGTCAGTGTTTTCTTACACTTGCTGTACTTTCACTTTCACCCACGGATTAAAATCAAAGGTTTAGGAAAGATTTAAATCCACACATTTAAACGAGTAACTCTCTGAGTGACTCACTGTCTGAGGTGTCATAACCAAGCATGGTAGAGAATGAAATATTAACACTTAAATACATCAATAGCTATTAGATTGATTACCATTAATTAAAAATTCCTGTGCGTTTGAGAGGCTTCACTGGGCAACCGATGTAGATTCACAAAGTTTCGCTTTTTTGTATGCTTGTAACTTTGAAACAGTTAAAAAAAAGATATCACAAAGACTTATGTAAATTAAGTAATAAGTGGTAAAAACTCCATTACACTTCTGCTTAATTACCACAAGCACAGGCATTGGGACGACTTAATTAAAACTCTTAAATCAACAAAAGAAATTACTTTAGTGTCAGATGGAGATTAAGATGCAGATTAATGAGTCTCAGAGGACTTTCAGGAATGAGCCGACCTTGAGATTCAAACTCAATTTTTTTTTTTACATTTTTTCTTCTTAGCTTTGAAAATGTTTGGTAGGTTTGTTTTTGTACTTTGATAGTTTTGCAATAGAAGTCAACACAAAGTGAGACAAATGACTCAACATGGACAAAAACAATGGGAGCTACTCTCAGAGTAGCAGAAAATATTTCAATTGAATTTGGAGCTTATAATTAATATGCATGATATCTTTTCCCAGTAGGCAAAAAACACACATTTGCTGAGCCACCACACTAGTATTTAATTTTATGTGTATGTAACGTTTTTATTATGTGAGAGTTGCTTTTCTATCTGGAATACTTTTTTTTTTTTTACATATGACACATGGCTGTGTCTCAGTTTAGATGGCAGAGATGTTTAATTTCTCCTTTGTCATCATCATCATCAGCAGCAGCAGCAGCAGCAGCAGCAGCAGCAGCAGCAAGGATGGCAATCAGCAATGGCCATAACACTACAGCTGTTTTCTCTTGCTTTATGTCTTCCATATATCTTCAGGAGGATAACAAATCTTATTTTTTAAACAGCAGCTTTCATATTTAATATATATTCAGATCAAAATGACTCTCAAGTGGCTCTCCTTAAAAGTTAACATAACATTCTCAAATAAAGTTTCACACACTGCGTATCTTTTTCATCTTATTACTGCTCTTCGTGATTAGTGCTTTTGAAGACAGAACTCGTCAGTTCTGACCCAAATCGTTCATTTATCCAAGAAGAAAGAACGCTGACAGCTGTACTCTCTATCTATTAATCCATGTAAACATTATATTCAAGTTCACCGAATCACATAGTCTTGTACAATAATTAACTGCTTTTGTGTAGCTTCAGTTTTCCCAGTAACTGTTTAACCTGCAGCAGGCCATTTTAAACAGTTTTTATCTCATTACACTGTTTTAATCATAAAAATGTGTGTTTTCCATTGGTATCTACTGACAATGAGTGAGTGTGCCTGATCTCGCCTGAAAGGAAGTAGGAGGTTGAGACGGGCATTTCATCGTAGCTGTCAACATTTTCAACCAATTTAGCAAAGTGCAGAAAATTATGCAAATCACACAAGCAATGATCACACTGATCGGTCAAATGACTGGTTGTTGCCTGTAATTACGTTGATTCATTTCCTGAGAGAGAAACCAATTGAATGCAAATCCCTCCATCTTCTCACTCTGTATTTCTCAAAGTGTCGTTGGCAGCTATACACACTGTGAGTTGTTGCCGGAAGGTTACTGGTTATAATCCTTGATCGAGCTGAAAATAGACATGACATCCAGCTTTTATTTTAAGGCAGACAGCATTCATTTTGACTCATTTATTTCCATGAACAA